GCAAGGTATAACCCTTCATCATGGACTGCAAATTTGATTTCACACTGAAATCGGCACTGATTTGCACCACTTCTGTTCAATCTTGATGTAGGAGTAAGCTTCAGGGCTAGCTTGGACATGCCAGCGGAGCAGCCCCGATGTCCTCAGGGTCTAAAGCCTCTGTGTCCCCAAGGCGACAGTTCTTCCACACAGGAGATGAGCTGGGGCCTGAAATAACAGCCCGGTGAGGTGGCCTTGGGCAGGCTTTTCACAGCAGGTGAGAGACCTAAGAGTTACCATCATAGCAACAGCCAGATTACTTGAAAAAAAGACTTTTTAAGACCGAGAAAATATGCAAACAATTTTTGGGTTTGGTTCATTTGATGCATAAATTGTATACTTTGTCCAGAATGTTTTATTAAAGTGAAGACAATCTCTGCAGCGTAAGCCTGAAGACCATGGTAGGTGATTAGTGCATGGTAACTCTACACAATACATGCTGACCTGACTTTGAGTCAGAGAAAAGAACAGAGAAATTTTGCTCGATACACAAAGAGCTTATAGTTTGCACTAAAACTCTTCCTCTGTGGTAAAAGATGATGCTTTTGTTAGCACAATATTAAAGTTTATAAAGCATCTTGGCATGAAATGCTGTTGGCTTTTCTTTCCAGCGTGTTATAAAATCATCATGGAAAGAAAAACAGAGTATCCCTAATGCACCAGATTATTGTTACACTGGTGTCTCCTGATACTGCACCAGATTAACGTGACAGAGCAATAAAACTCTGGATCTTCATTTATCACACCTCTTTAGCTCTCTCCCATGCTCAGAGAGGTTCAAAATTAATATTAGCTTTTTCACTGAAGAGAAAATAAGAAGTTACCCAGAAACTATCAATATTTCAACTCTGCCAATTTTTACTCAAGTGTTGGTCCTGTGAGTATTCTTCAGTTCTTCTGTGTTCTTACCTAATCCACTGAGGAGGTTTTTTATTTTCTTTGGTTTTGGAGTTTATTCTTCCATCTGCTTCTTGTTATATTGCTTAATCTCTAGGTGTGTGATTTATTCTGGCAATGTGGTTTTATTTTTGTGTTAAAGTAACACTCACACAGTCCCTGTGGGTCTGATACACCTCAGCCTGAAAGATGTCTAAAAGGGGTGTCCGGTCCTGGGACGAAATGTCTGGAGGGACATTTTGGGCTTTCTATCTACCCTCTGTCCTCAAACCACCACTCTGAGTCTGCAGACAGTTTTGTCTGACTCCAAATTCCTCCGTCTCTATTCTGAGCATCCTTCTGGCAAACCAGTATCCACCTCACAACCTCTCTACATCATACATGGGTCTCTGCCCCACCTATAAATTTATTTTAAAGTATCAAAGGCTAAGTATGAGACTGTTGTTCCTTGCACATTTTAATTCTGTTGGTGGTGCTGCCAGTCCCAAGCATATCAATGGCTTCTGTTGGACTGCTGGTTTTGAGGCTATTGGGTGCACTTGCTTCAAGTTTATAATGAATCCTTCATAATCTCCAAGTGAAATGATTTCTCTTACAAATGAAGACTGAGATACCCAAGCAGCCCTTCTCTCAGGCAGCCTTAGGATAATACTAGTGAGGACTGGCAGCAATGACACCCTTTCCCCCTGGTTCCCAATGCATTGCCTATCTCCAGGACTGCCAGCTCTGGTTTTTGTGGAGCTCCAAGTACATTGGTACGAGACAGCAAATTACAAGGGGTTTTTTTTCAGTGCTGACTTTCAGCCCTGAATGCTGTATTGACGGAGGTCAGTACTGGTCTTCCCAGTTTTACAGATACATAAACTGATGTACAAGGGGTGAAGTGACTTAGGAGGAGTCTCACAGCCTCAGGGGAAAATTCCTAAATCTCTTCCTGGCATTTCAGCTATTCCCTGTTCATAACCATGTCTTGCTACTTCCATAGCAAATACTAATATAGCATACAGCTGGTGAGAGCAACCAGCCTTGCTCAGCTTTGCTGCTATTGTGAAAACCCCTCTGGTTTCTTCATTCTGCTAATTTTCCCTGTGCTTAAGAGATCAGCTGCTCCAGAGGATCAGGCTGGTGATTGGTGATGGCATAGATGCAGCAACACAGTTTGACTTGAATTCTGCATCCCTGCACTGCTGCAAAGCAAGCTACCGATGGTGCACACACAGGGCACCCTCCCTCTGTGAAAGCATTAATTATTACTGCTGCTTGCAAAATGATCTGTGAACTAAAATGTTTTTTTCTAATTCTGTCACTGGAGAAGAACTTCTGGCTAATCAACTGGAGGCAGATGGAGTTGGCAGAGATGACATAAAGGCCTGCACTAATTATTCCACATGTCTCAAGAACTAATAAGGGCGTTGATTTATGCCTGGAACAGCCCGATAATTCTGGAAATAATAGATATTGCATGGCTTAATTAATCAATGTAAACTTGATTGTGCTCTGATTTTGAATTAATGGCTGTGGTATAGCACAGGTGTGTGGAAGGTGGGCTGCAGCCTGCTACTGCAAGAAACCTAAATGTACCTACTAATGTCCCAAGCCAGGGACCCGGCTCTCGATACATCCTGCAATTGTCTGTTATTGTATCTGGTGAATTCTTGTGCTCTCGTGCTTGGGGAATGTGAGTATGGCCATATATGATGGCACAAAGAAGGAAAATGGTGCATACACACACAACAGTGGGCAGGAGCAAGAACTTACTTAGGAATCGGTCCATCCTATGAGTTCAAGCTAAATAGTTGCATCAGGAGTAAGTAGTTTTAAGTCCTGAGGGGTTTTAGCTCAGGCTATCGCCCTGCCTGGTGTGCTTGGTCCTCAGGGCTGATGGTCATGCAGGCAGGTTTGTTCTCCACCTGCACTGAAAGGGGACACCCTTGGGTGGGAGCGAAGGCTCTGTCCACTCTGAGCTACAGGTCCTGCTGGCTGGAGTCAGCCTACAGGACAAAACACATTTTGCTCTGGCTATTGTCCTGCTTTCTCCATTCTTCATACACAGACCATTGCAGCGCTATGGTCCATCATGGGACCTCCCCTGCCTCTCACCCCAGGCTGATTTTTTGGACATACACAATTTTGCTGATGCACAATGTTTTCCTGGACCAGCCTGGGAGGATGGACAGGTTTTACTCTGTTTTCACCCTCCTCAGAGCTTCTTTTCATTCCTCCACTGTGGTTGTTGAAGTGAAGATAGATGTATGGACTGGTTGAGACCGACCCATGGTAGGCCAGAATATATATCACTGAACAGAAACACATGCTTTTCCCAAGACAGACGTCAGTTAGAAATATCTTAGCTATGAAGACAAATCCAAAAAGGAACTTGCCTGCTAGGGCTTATGGTAATATCGGTACATGCAGAGTCAGTTTTAGCCTATTAAGAAGCCCAGTGACTAGGTCTCTGAACAGGGATTTAACTTCTCCCCCTGCAGAGCATTTTAAGGAGAAGTATTTGTGTACCATAGTGGCACGTTTTAACAAATTATACCTGCTTTTAGCACCTTATGGCACAGGTGACCCAACACGTGAGTAGATTTTGAATGGTGCATGTCAGGATGTGGGAACTCCAAACTCCTCAGAAGGACAGTTAAGAGAAGCAACAGGTCTCTGCTCCTAGGCAGTCCTGAAGGCCTTGGTCAAAAAGACTCATGAAAACAAGCTGCTGTGGACTAGCTGATAACAGTAACTTGGCTTTGAAACAACATCTTCATGCTCCTCTGCTGAACTTGCCGAGCCTTTGCAAAGCTATAAGAGGGAGAGGACTGCAACCTGGATCTCATTTTGGAAGGCTGCAAACCCCAAAATCTTTAGTAATTTCAACACAGGGCCTCTCACTCTAATCACTCTTGTCCACCCTTCTCTGGGTTGCACTCCAAGGGGAAGCCATGTCAGCATCATGCTCTGTTTACAGTTATTTAAATAATCTGCCTTGCTTGTACAAATGCCAGGCTGGTATTTACTGCTGGCGCCGGGGCTCAGCCACGTCCCTTAGAGATGCTATAGAAGGTCACCAAAGGTTGGAAGGATGGCTGAGATGCCCTCTCCTTTTGTATCCCCTGCCCTGCTTGCTATTATATACAAAAAAATTTCCTTACAGAAGGACTGTTTGACCTGTGTGGGTGGCAGTGGTGGTGGAAAGCAATTTCTGAAGAGAATAAATAGTTTCTGCCTGGATTAAAACAAATATCTAACTTGCTTTCTTCCTTTTTGTGTATGAAGAGTCCTCACTTTACCATGCAAGTAGCTTGGATCAGATACGAGGCAGGAATCAGGTTTGGATGCTGTTCCTTGCTTTCCCCATCCTGCTATACGGTCTTACATTAGTCATTTGATCTCTATTTGTCTCTGAGCTCCCAAGCACCATGAGGCACAATGACTTTCCTTTTCATGTCTGAGCAGGACAGAGCCCCACAGGTCCCCATCCTTGGTCCTACCATGCTAAACTATATTGCATCTACAATGATTTAAGCATCAAAGACTCAGCTGTATCTTTTTTATGCAGTGCCTGACAGTCCTTGGCAAAGCCATGAAATGGATAGTCAGAAGGGGATTGAACTTGTTTTAATTTCTGAAAATACAGTTTATATTCATGTCCATACTTACATTCAGAACCAATAAATATACACAACAGCTTTCCAGGACTTCACAATCATCGTCACTTACATAATGATAAAGTGGTTACATTACATTTTGTATGCAGTTTGGTTTAGAATGTGAAAGTATTATGAATACATTGAATCCTTTCAACAACGTTTTCCTAGTCTTGTTTTTATTCTTTCTTATGGTCTTTGAAAGATTTCCAAATACTATGAATCTCATATATGGGTTAATGACAGTAAAACAATGTAAATGGAGTACACAGCACTCTATAACCATGGCTCATACACAATTTCAAGATCAGTGCTGTGGCCTTTTTTTGTATGAAACTTCCTCTTAAGAAATAGTGTTTTTCTTTTAAGAGATCCCCTTGAAGACTTCCAAAGATATTAGCTGATCCCAACAGTGCAAAGCAGCCATAAACTCAGCTTAACAAGTTAGTTAAAACAGGTTTAGTGTTGGTTTGCATCACTAGAGCTGTACAAAGCCGTCAGTGTGTGCCATAAATCAGTTCTTTATAGAGTACAGAAAGTGATAACACATGTCTGACAGCTAAAACACCATAAGAGCTTCACACAGCCCAGTATAGGCCATAACATTTTAGCTGGGAAAGGGGGAGAGTGAAGAGAAGTCTATGTACATTTATTTGAGCTTGTGAGTCTCCTGATTTTAGCTTTGCTATGAATTCATCTCTCCTTTAAGTCCCCAAGTTCTCCAGCTCTACAAGTGCTTTGCAGTACCAAACCATGCCCTTAGACCTTGCTAGTCTGCATATGTCCATTGAATTCAATATTTCTCTGGGTTAACATTGATTCCTGCAAGCGGCTGCTGTTCTCTTGCCTGTGTTCAGTGGGGTCACCATCCTCTACACCATTGCCCTTTCGGAGGTGAAGGACTTTCTGAAAACTCTGCTTGAAGTTGTCAGAAAGAAATCCATAAAGAATGGGGTTGGCACAGCTGTTTGCATAGGACAGGACCACCACAAACAAGTACACCCCTACCAACACAGGGTCTTCTGGCAGTATAAGTATCAAATTGACAATGTTCATCATGTAAAATGGGAGCCAGCAAAACACAAAGACCACCACAATGATCACCACCATCCTGGTCACCTTCCTCTCTGATCTCCTGCGCCTCGTAGACCCAACTCGGATCCCCGAAGATTTGACTTTAATCACGATCAGTAAGTAGCAGAGACAGATCACCAACAAAGGACCAAAAAAACCAAGGACAGATGTGTAAATGATGAATGCTGCTGACCAGATGTTGACAGGCTCTGGCCAGTTCATGTTGCAGGTGTGAAAGTCCTCTTGCACATCCGAAAAGATGATGACTGGAAGCACCACCAAGAACGAGAATGTCCAGACAGTCACACTGATGAGCTTGGCCACCCTGGGACGTCTCCACTTGGTTGATTTAATGGGATGAACTACTGCCAGGTAGCGGTCCATGCTCATCACAGTCAAACAAAAAATACTAGTGAATTGGTTAATGCCATCTGCAGTCATAACCAGCCTGCACAAAAAGGAGCCAAAAGGCCAATAGGAGATGGCATTCTGGGTGGCCAGGAAGGGCAGGCCAAGCATGAAGAGTACATCAGCAACAGCTAAATTCAAGATGTATATGTTGGTGACAGTTTTCATCTTGGCATAGCGCAAAACCACATAAATGACCAATGTGTTGCCACTGAGTCCAACTGCACATACAAGGAGGTAACAGATGGGAATCAGGACTTTGTGGATGTATTTGAATGTGGGCTGCTCTGAGAGCGTCCCATTCTCTGTCACGTTCGTCAGCAGTGAGGAATTCACATCGCTGGAACTAGCTTCTGTGCTAAATGCGTTGGGAAAGTATAAAGGATCCATAGCTTTTACTCCTCAGATTTTCTTTTAAGGCTAAGAGAGATTAAACTTCATGGGCATCTTGTTCCTAGAAAGAAAAAAAAAAAAAAGGGAAGAAAAAGAGAGAAAGAAAGAGTGAATTCAAAGTAGACTAAGTTTTACACAGCATTTAATTTTCTATCTATAGTCAGAATTTGTGTTTGAATTATGCAGTTAGCACATGTGATGAGATCAATACCTGGGCAAAGGAACTGCACAATGAGAGAGCCCAAGTGCTCATCCCAGTAGATGGTGGTATCTGCTTAATTTTCACAAGCTCCATGCAGTGGGGTCAGGGCTGGATGCAACTGGGAAGATGGGAGGCTGCACGGCAGTAATACAGCATGCATCCCGCCGGGGACAGCAAGCGAGAGAAGAGAGGGTAATGGCCATCACACTTAGAGGCAGAAGCTTTCCTGCAGCAAAGGAGTCCGAATGCCCCAGCATGTGGGCCGTTCGGGTCCAAAACCTACTGGTAACTAAGGCCAGTCCTTCCTCTGCTGATGCGAAATGTTAATTCTTGCATGCCTCTGTGCCACTTGGCACGCAAACTTTACTGTCTGACTGTCTCACCCTACATAACCTGTCGTACATGCATTTTTCCTCTTTTGTGAAACCAAGGAGCAAGGGGGATAATACTCTCTACTTTCCAACTTGCACAAAAATACGCAAATCCAGAACCCACCTTTCCTCCTAGCTTTCTGTCTAAAAACTGATATAGAAAATGTTAGAAGATAATTTTGAAAGACTCTGACCGAACAGCACATCCAAATTAGACTGAAAGCAGAACCCTGGCATTAGTGCCGAAAGCTTTAAAGTCCAATTTAGGGCAATTCTGCTGTCACTTAGCGGAGGGTGCCTGGAGAGGCTCAGGGACAGACTCAGCCCCACCTCACTCCCGTACAAGCTCTGGGTGCTTTCAGAATCCAGAACCAAAGATAGTTCCCAGCTCTTCTTATCTGAAGCTCCACTGTTATGTTTCACAGGTCTCCCTGTTTACACAGAAACAATCGCAGTTTGATATATTCAAATGCCACTTACTGCCTGGCAGAACCAATTGAGAACCCCCAGGGAACATCGGCAGCTGTGTAGGTGGGGAAACAAAACCTTCCATAACAACCAACAAAACCCTAGAAAAAAAATCAATGAACTCCGAGATGGAAAGGACCATGTCTGAGAACACTTTTCAGTCGGGTCAGGCCATGTGCACGCAGATATGAGGACTGCGATGGAAAGGAACAAGCTGTTTCTGTTACATCTCTCAAGACTATTCTGTTAGTGTTTCTGAATCCCTCTCCTCTCACCCTGAAGAGTGCTTTTTGTCTAACACCTTTCTTCTGCAAGAAATCCAAACTGCAGTGGGCAGCTTCAGGACAGACAACTGAACAGATTTGGTGACAGAATATGTTTTATTAGACAATCTGAAAAGGGCTGAAAATTTCCAACGCTCTGTTTCTGTGGAATGCTTGATTCATATGAATATTTTTTCATTCTTTGTCTGAACATGGTCTAAGTAGGTGTTTATAAGGCTTTCCACTATAAAAAAGTTAGAGCACCTGCTATAAAAGAGTGGAGATTCAAAACACCAGTCTGGCCCAAGATCTCTCCAAAGTCTGGCCAGCAGAGAGTGGTAAAGGTGCTCAAGGAGGATGTGCCCAGCAACTTTTGTTCCCATCACCTGATGGATGGGTTTCCATAATAATCTGGGGGCATGAATCTGGATTCAAAAACACCCAGCCCACATTGCGCCCATGCCTTTCAAACAAAAGCAAAATTCAGTATCATAAGCATGAGAGAGACTTCTCGTCTCCAAGAGGAATGCAAACACCTCCACGGGCTGGTTACTGTGCTTTCTCTTTGGGTGAGAAAAACTGCAGTGGGTGAGAGTAGAAGTCCCTGCAGCTACCAGTAGTAATCATAAATATGCTGTTCTGATTTGGAAATGTACAGATGGGAAGTAGGTGTCTCACATGTAACTCCGTGGCTGGGAGGAGATGTACCAGAGAAATCAGAAATCCAGGGTGGCTGGGATGGTAAAGCTGAGAGAGCTGCCAAAGCTCAAACAAATGATGGCTTGAAGATGGAGATGAGAAAGGTACAAGGCAGATCTGAAGGTTCTGAATATGCTACCGTGGTGTTTGGGGTTTAGGTATTGCAGCCATGGGCTCCCTGCAAGAGTCATTGCAGTCCCTGACAGCACACTGCAGGGAGAGGTCAGCTGAGACCATGCTCTTTGTGAATTAAATAGGACTAAACTTACTGCTTACATAAGAAAAGGCAAACTCCAGTTCTGGCCAAAGAATGGACTTTTAAATTCTGTTCTGACACTAATTTTAAATTATAAAGTTGTATTAAAACTCAGATTATTTTGGAGGGGAAATCAGGGAGAAGTCAAAGCAGCACCATGCTCCTCTTGGGCTGTGAGAGTTTTGATCTTTGGAAGATTGCATTTTCTTGCAATCCAGATGCTGTGTGACCCAGTTGGTTAGCCAGTATCTTTGAAGCGAAGAATATAAAGGAAATGGGTGGTAGGATGGGGCAGTTGGTGTTTATAAACTCATATTCACGGAACTGCATCTTTGGGATCGAGTATGGTGCTGACACTGGGAAGGCACTTCTCCCCAGACTAGCTCAGCAACATGCAGTCTAGGCCAAAAAGCAAAATTTTTGTTCTGGGACTGCAAAAATAGGAGGACAGTAGTCATGTGTGGCTCTCACCCTAGTGCTATAAAAAATGAGGATGGACATCTTTCTTCTAAAGTTACCTCCTTTTTCCCCACAGTACATATCGTTGAAATTGTTGACTGTAAAATAACACAGTAAGTTCTTCAAGCCTGTTGCTCCTTCCACCACATTTAGAGTTCAAGCCTTGGGAGAAGCACTGAGGAAGAGGAGTTCCCTTATGTGGATAACCTACTGCACAAAATCCCTGCTTGCCAAGAGCCTCAGGTTCTTTGAGCCATCCATTCCTGGCATTCC